TCTGTCCACTGTCTATATTTTACAGAAAATTTAAGGACAATCCTATAAAACAAAAACGAATGCAATTCATATACAGACTCCCACCGAAACCTTGTTAATGAAATCACTGATATTACTTCTCGTTTCAGTCAGTTTTCTTTAAGCTAGCAAAAGGAACTAAAGAAGATGAAGATGAGCTGAATAATATTATATGTTCCATATCAACAGCATGATAGAGCTTTTATTGTATGCAATTGTCTTTCAATTATTGCTCCTTACATGTACAACGTGTCAAGTTGTGGAGTGGAGATTTACGTGGCTGGTGTGGCTTTGTATATCAAATATATATATTTATACATATGATTTCTTTGCACTGATGTTTATCTCATCTTCCTTTTAGAAGAAATTGCTACTCAAAATAAGCGTTGCCTGAAAATAGCCACATAAATTAGATTTTATTTACTTTTTTACTTTTCTATATTTTTAGTTTGAAACAAAACCTTTTTCCTGCCCATGGCTCAACCCATGGCTACATGCGTGATAAAGGTCTTGAGCTGGTTATTGTATCAGGGCTTTTCTATATGTCAGCTTAACACTGATAGCCACAGTAATATGACAGAGCTCTCCGACTAACATCTCTCTCTGCTGCATTAAAACTCCACCGAGAAATGCCACATATAACATTCCACAAAAATCCCACGCACACATTAAGAAGGTTGCTAAAGAAAGCCAATCCTATCTTATCCTTCCCCCGCTTGCCTCTCTTCCATTCCTTGGACCAGTCACTGACGGTACACAATGCCGAGCTAAAACCATAGAAGCTCTTCCACATCTTTTTCTGTGTGTGTGTGTCCGTGTGTGCGATGCTTTCGGAGACAAAGACCCCCGCTGTAGAGAGTCCTGTGGGAAAGGCGTGCGGCCGGAAGATGTGAGCACACCGGCGAGTGATAATGTCAGCCGGAGAGATACGGCGTGTCATTTTACACAACCACACATCAAAAAAGACAGTGGGGGGGGAGAGGGAAGAGAAGACAGCATGTCATTTGTTTGCTTTGATACAAGATCGTACCGAGGGAGGGCCTGTAAAACGCTGAGTGTGTGTGTGTGTGTGTGTGTGTGTGTGTGTGTGTGTGCGTGTGTGTGTCTTTGACGTACATTTGTATGTCCCACACACGGGCAGATGAAAGGATAGCGTTTCAGGGATATACTAAATGTCTCGTATTAGGTTTCCCCACAAACAGACAAGCACACATGGAGGCTGGCACGGTTCTTTCACGTCCAACTCTGGAGTCATTCAACATCTTCAGCATGCTGGAGGCCGTGTCACAACGCCACGTTCTCCAGATTGCAACGTATCCAGGTATGATGATCACTGCACAGTGGCAGGAAAAGGTGCACTTGACTCGATAAGCAGTGGGGTTTCTAACCAGCCATGGAGGAAATGTTCAGACTTTTGACTTAAGTAAAAGTAGCAAATTTGTAGAATAAAAGTTACATGTTCAGAATCGTACATAACCGGTTAGTTATTCTGATGTTTTTTTACTTTTACCTGCATTTATCAATCCATGCTGTTTTGTTGTGGGGTGCCTATTATCTGGAGATATGAGCCCTACAGATTTCGTCTCTCTTGAGCATATAGTCTCGATTTAAGGCGCTCGGCAAGTGATGCTCAAAGTGCCAGAAAATACACTTCAGAGAGCATGATGCAGTTACTTAAGATAAGCACAGACCTTGTTAAGAGCAGTTTCATGTAGGAACTATACATGATTGAAAGACATTATTTCCTATATGAAACTACAAGTCTGAACTCTCAATTTAAATAAACGTATGTAAGTAAACGACAAGTACTCCATTTACTCCAAGTACAGTAATGTACTTTTTTACATTCCCACATTAGTTTTGACTCAGTGTATTTTTAAATGACTTTGTTATTTGAACCCAGGCTTCACCAGTACTCATTTTTCCCTCCCTGTTTTGAATCACACATTCCTTGAGTCACTCTTTCACTTTATGAAAATGCTAATGATTGACATTTTGTTGGACAACAGTTCCCTTCCTTCCCTCCAGCCACTCTGATGCATCCTTGCATTTATTCCACCTCCAAGTGTTTCCACAACTGTTTCAATACAGAAACTGACAACTAAGAAAGTTAGAATGAGTTGATGTGCATTATAGTTAAATCCGTCACTATATATTTTGATTTGATGGTTAACTTTTCATCCATTAAGGCATTGATTTCTTCTCTTAAGTGAAGGAAGTCAGTGTTTTTTGTCATTGTGACTATTTGTTTTTTTAACAGTGTGATGCTTTAGCTCTTCACCATGGGGATTTGGAGACTTGCTAAGAGTATTACTCAAAGGTACTTAATGACAAGAGATAAAGAGAAGAAGTCATTTAATATTGTCATATACCCAGGCTTGATATACTGCAGCAGTGGTGTTATTCAGTCTCAGTCTTCTGTTGTCTTTGCATAACCGCAGAGTGGTTTGTTTGTGTGTTTGTTCATGCGAGTGTGTGCGTGTAGCCTCCCTACTTTGTCATTATTTGTAAACAAGCACACCCATATGGGCACATACATGCGGGTGCGAGTGTGTCTGTGAATGTTTGGATAATTTGGTCTCTCTGCTGTTTTCACGCTCTGGGTCTGTTTATTTGTATGTGTGTGTGTATGTGTGTGTGTTTGAGACTTCTTTCTGGGTGTGACTCTAAAGGCATTGTGGTGATTTTATGAGGGTTTGTTTGTAAACATCAACAGCAGTAAGTTTTATTTTATTTCCCGACATTTTTCCCAGATGTCTGCTGAAGCTTGCAGTCTTGTAATGCATCTACCGCGCATTCTGCGCCACACATGTGCTTTTGCTCTCATACGCAAACAAACAACATGGCCTCCAGTGCTGATTCGTTCAGAATTCCCCTCCACATATACAAACAGGCCAGAATTAGTCTCAAATCCTGCGTTTGAAGGGCCAGATTGAGTCATTCAAAGTTAGAGGCTGGAGCTCTGACACTGTGGGTGAGCTCCCCCATATTTCTCTTTAATTAAGCCATGGAAAACCTTGTAGTACAGCCAACCCAGTTCATGTAGCCACTTATGTTTTAATTTAATTACCTGTCCACTTTGATAATTATTCCCCCTGATTAACAGGGAGAGGAAGGTTCCTAAATGGGAATAGGAGATGGGTGAGAGGGCCAAGCAGCGTTTTTCTCTTTTCAGCAAGCACAAGAATGAAGGTGTTGACTTAAGATGTCCAAGCCAGCTCCTATTTTGATCGGGTTACTAACTTGGACCGCCTCATCCCAGCCTGGCTCGCCTCGAATTTATTCAGGCTGTGCAGAACACAGAGTCCTTTTGAGTTTCCTGTTCACCGTTTAATTTGATGCACCCACGAGCCAAAACAGCGAAACAACAACTAGAAAATCAGCATTCTGCAAACAGGCGGGGGTGATTGATATCTTTACTAAAAATCTCAACAGTTACAAAACAACAAGCACAAGGAGAATTCAGTCTCTTTGTTCTCTACTGTGCTTTTCTACATTCTGTTTTTGGATTCAGGTTGTATGTCACTATTGTAAGTAGCCATATACACACTATGGGTGCAGTTATAAAGTTTATTTTAATAATAAAAAATGTAATAATATTTTTTCAATCAAACTTTAAAGTGCAATTTCATGAAAACAGCCACTTAAAAAAGTATCACTTATCACCATCCATGTGCTGAAATTAACACCCGTCATTTGGAGATTTATTGGAGATATTACAAAGTGTTCCGGGGAAATTTTTTATCTGGCTTAGAGAAGAGGCGAGCAAGTGTACGTATATACACATACTGTATATGTATACTGAAAAGGTTTAGACTTAGACTTAATTTCAAAAGTGTACTGTAAAAATAAATGTTATTATATATGTATATATATATGTATATGTATATAAATATATGTATATATATATATATATATATATATATATATATGTACAGTATATGATAAACACTCGCACAGACAAATACACACCCACAACATTTGCACACTTACACACACAGACACATGTTTTAATGGTATTGATCGCGCCAATGAATGTGTTGTGATTTACTGCAGTCGTGGCCCATTGTTGGGTCGTACTGTGATGGACTGCCTTCATTTTCCAATGTTTAAAAGCTCCAAGAGAAGCCAGGAGGGTATAGAATAGCATTTAATGGCAAACGCAAAATTATTCCAAGATCTTTTCATGAGTTATGACACTCTTTTTTTTTCATGACTTGCAGCGACAGGTATGATGTAATTTCCAAATTTCTTCAGAGACAGTAATCTCAACACTGATTATGCTGTCAATTAGTAAATGAATGTGGCGGTAAGGGAGGAAAAGGTGGTAATAACTCTGCAAAAGGAGTTGTCAGGCTTCCAAAATAGATAACGGACTTACAGAGATAGGCAGGCAGTAAACATCACAATGTAACTGTCTATTTGCATGGTAAGTGGAAAAAAACAAGGGTGAATCCACACACACACTGATTTTACATTTTATTCATATAATACAGCATTTCTTAGGTTGACTTCGATCTTTTGGCATGAAGACTTCAACAAAGTGTGGAAAAATACTAAAGGTATTATCGTCTGTCGAGAGAAACAACAGAAATATATATGGGAAAAAATATGTTAATTAAAAAAATATCAAAAGTAACATTACAACAAAAAGGTGAAGAAACAAATCAAAGTGCTTCCTGGTCGCTAGTTTGCTTTGGATGATGGCGCTTTGTTGACGGGTTTCTGAGATCCAAATTGTATGTAGAGTAACATCTGTTCTTCTCTGCTTCCACAATAGCACAACTCAGCCGGGATGCAAAGAGAGGTCAAAAGATCAGTGCCTTCCCCACACGCACGCACACACACTCGGAGAGCGAGAGAGGGAGAGAAAGGGGGGGGGGGGGGTCACTGAGAGAGCCTCTACCTCTCACCGGCTGCTGTTTTCCTTTTGTGCGCCAGGGCTTTACGAGGAACGATACAAACGCGCACCTGCTTTAGAGGCAATTACGGGTAGCGCAGCAAACTGTCCCCCCTCCGCAACACACACACACAGACACACTCACACGCTCGCGCAGCCCTAGTGATTCAAACCCCGATTTCCAGCAAACGAGCAAGCAACAGACGGGATGCCAAAAAAAGTGAGGAGCAGCGGAGGGGTTGTTCGCGCTGAATGAGCCTCTTGAAGAGATAGCGAGAGGAAGGCAGACGCAACAAAACAAGACGAGAAGCTGCGCGCTTTCTCCGCGGCAACTTGCGCACAGTGCCAGAGTTTTTAGCGGCAGTATTGTTCCGACTTCACTCCAGAGGGGCCACTCCGAGGAGAGAGGACGCACACAAAAGGGAAAAGGAAAGGACTAACGAGCACGCTTTGTCGTTTAAAGTGATGGTCCTGCGGTCTTAGATCCTAGATTTCTCTGTCTCTACCTCTCTCCCCTCTCTGTTTCTTTCCATTTTTTCTCCTTTTTTTTTTTACATTTTTTTTTTCGTCCCGTCGGTTTGTGAGCCCCTTTGTCGCCGTGAGAGAGAGAGTGGACGCGCCGGGGGTTTGAGGAGCCGAAGCGGGGCTGTCCACATGGTCCGACCACTGGCGTGAAAGTTGACTTCTTCAGAAAACCAGAGAACAGGTTGATGCATTATCTACAATTTACTTTCCCCCTTTCTTTTTTTTCGCCTTCCTCACTCTTTCCTCGCCTCGCTGCTTCTATTGAAACTCTGATAACCACGTTAGTCCACAAAAGTTAAACTTTCCCATCGCACATTGTTTGTGAAACTCCTCCGCGCGAGGCTAATAATACAAATAGGGTATTTTAAAACACATTGGCACACTCGGGAGTTTTTTCCTCGTTCAGACTTCCCCTCCGTCCATGTGTCATTTGAACTAGTTTCTTTTCTCAGGATTAACTTATTAGCCACGTATTAAAATGCTATTTGAAGCTTTCATCCTTTCAGTTTCTACAAGAGCGAGAAAGCGGTGGTTTAAGTTTCTTCTATTTATTCGCTTCACACGTGTTAGTCGTACGTGCACCACAGGGAGAAACACACGCTTATTTAAATCGACGTTTGTTTTCATTTCTGTGAACTCATAAATATCATGTCATAGTCATCGTGGACTGAGAGACCCGGTGTTTTTAAAATGATTTTTTTTTTTTTTATTGTCCGAAGTTATTGCTCACGAGCCAACCAAAAGTTAGTCTCATAGGTTCAGACTAAGATGTCGGGAGGGGATTTGACGAGCTTAACTCTGCGTGCCCGTAAGTAACAGGGATTCAATAATAAACACACGTCGATTAATGTGGTGACAATTTGGTGACTCGCGTCGGAATGCTTTGTCATCGCGTTGTACCTGTTTAGCTCCCTGCCGGTCACCACTGTTTTAATTCTTAATTGATTTAGTTTTAGTTTAGTTTATCCCCTCACTGAAGATCATGTTTTCAGAGAGGGAGAGAGAGAAAAAGGTCTTTCTTTGAGACTTGGCCAAAGGGTCAGGGGGACAATACTTTCCTTTCAAAGCGTTTTGACTTTTGAAATTGGAACCGCGTTTTGTGACCTAACGTTTGCCGAGTTGTGTTGGTTACCGATACAATACACAACAATATGCAGAGGTTTTCCATGCATAGTAAAAGTTTAACGTATAAAGTGATCGTATCTGTAGGTATGTAGACAGATCATTAGATAATTGTAACACTGCTTTTTATTCATTCATGAATTACATTAAATTAAAATACATATACTTCTCATGATTTAAAAAAAAGTCCACATGTGTGCAGAGCTGATTTTGACTTTGACAATATTTTAAAATAAATAAATGAGGGGGTTGAAGTCTGTACCAGAACCAGAATGTTTTTCCTTTCCTTCTACAGTCATACAGCGCCTGAAAGCAGGCCTCCAATAGGAGAGAAATGCTCCTTTCTTTTTAGAGAGAAAATACAAATGAACTACATTTATCCAATATCTTAAATTACAAATAGCTCAATGAAGCAAACTGCAGAACAACTGTACAAGCTGTCCTACTTCAACTAAATAAATAAAAATAATCAAATTTGAAACATCAGCCAGAGCATTCCCTTATGCCAGATACACTGAGGTCCCGCGTGACGGAAACCAGCGCGAGAGATGAAACAACCATTAATTGCTGTTAGTTGTGTGTCACTGGGAGAAACGCGCACCCTGACACGGACATTATTGCCCCGTGATTGATGGGCGCCAGGGCATTTGGCATAATTCATTTTATTTACTGTGTCCTCTCTCCTGTTGTGTGCCCCCACCTTTGCCAAACACCCCCCTTTGCTAAACTACCCCCCCCCCCCCCTGCTCTTCTGTGGTGGCATTTCCGTTACGCGATGACACACTTTTAATTGCACTTTAGTAGAAGATCCATCGGGAATGAAAAAACTCTTCATCACGTTTTTATGACCTTGTCACATTTCTGGTGTCAGGTATTTCGTGGTCGCTCCGAGGCCTCTCGTGTAAAGTGTATACTGAATGATGAATAAAAAAAAGTAGTTCATTTCATCAACATAAATTACACCTTCAGTGGTAGCCTTCATACAAATCTGCTCGTTCGTGTTTTAGTGTTCACACAGATTCATGCTGCTGTATTTAAATCAGCAAAATTTGACCAGACTTTTAAGATGATTCATTTGTTAATTTTTTGCAAAGAAGCTAAATGTTTTTTTATTTGCATATCAACACACCTGTATCATTTAAATGATGCAAACATCTTTGCATGCTGACAACAGCCCTCGACATATCTCAGGTAATTATTTTTTATATTCTAAATTTGCTGAAATTGTTTCCCAGAAATATGGAGAAGAAAATCCAGTTTTGACTTTTACTTTTTAAATGTCTGAGATGCAAGTTTTTTCAACTGCTACATCTCTCCGGCGCAGCAGCTCAGATATTTCCGTTAGTGTAAAATATTGGATTTGTTGGTACAATCTCCGACAAAATGCAAATGACTGCACAATTTAATAATTTGCGCATATTGATTTAAATTGCCTGACTGAGAATCCTTTTCAAAATACACCAACCAATTTATTTATTTTAAAACCACAATATTAAGAGTATAAACTCACTATAAGTTAACAATTCTGTGATGTGCTTTGCTCATTGATCGCGTCAGTCACAGGCTTTTCATGCAAATATATTGGGACACAATGATACAAAGGAGTGTTTGAGAGGCAGAAGTAGTAATTTGGTTTTAAAAAGTGTACATGTGCAGGAAGCCAGAGGTGTCAGAGACAGATTGACGCTCTCTGCTCTCTGTTGGCTATTGTGCGTCCGTGTCTGTTTGCCTCAGCTTTGCCACCTTTTTTTTATCTGACTTGCCTCAACACTTTTCCCTCTATGCCTTTTTTTTTCCCTTCACTTCTCTCGACAGCTGTGTCTTTTCCATGTCCTGTTTTGTTTCATTGTTTATACGAGTCGCTCATGTGCTGCTGATTTTTATCACTTTCACACTCTGTTCTTCACCAGACAATTGTTTCTGTTATGCTTACTGACACATTACTTAAATGATGATTTTCAGCTTGGTCCTGGGTGTGTGTGTGTGTGTGTGAGAGACTCTGTGCCGGTGTGTTTTACTCCGGCACATGTATGAGACTGTCTAGAGACGGGCAATAATGGCTGTGAGTCTCATGCGCTTAAAAAAAAAAACTTCAAGCGGGATTAAAAGCCAGTAACATGATTGTGTTAGTCCATAAACTCACTTTAGAGAGTCCTTACCTCCGGCATGAGCGCATGTGAATGTATGTACGGAACCGCGTACATATCCGAGTGCGTCCGTGTGTGTGTTCGAGAGTGCTTTTTTCTCAATTCACCTGTCGTGCTTGAGTGAAAATGGACAGTATTTGGAGTTTTAAATGTCCTGTGCGTCGGTAGTGCTGATGGCTCGCCTGTCCGTCTCTCCATCTCTCGCTCTCTCCTCATTAAAGCCCTCCTGCTATCCGTAGCCCACAAGTCTGAGTGGGCTTTTGGCTCCAAAGTGATGTTGAAGAGCACCCGTACACAACTCGGCTATACATCTCGTAGAGTTGACCCGTGATAAATGCTCACAGGTTTACTTCTATTGCAGCACTTAGTGCATTATCTGCCGAAAACAATGAAATGGTTAATTTTTCAATATCCTTTAGATAATGTTTGAGAAAGGTAAAAAAAAACATGTGCAGGGAGAGAAAGCCTGTTTTGTAAAACGGAATTATTTGAGTGTTTGTCCATTACTGCACGGTGTGCGCATTTGAGCTGCACAGTTTTTGGGCTTTTAAATGTTAAAACAGTGCAGGATTCAATTTGTCTATATGTTCAAACAAACGTGTAATTATGGGTTAAAATGAAAACCTATTTCAATCTATAATACATCAGATTTTTATGGAATAAAGTAATTTCTTCTTTGCACTATAATCATCGCATACAATTACAATGATAATTTGGGCTTGTTGCCTCTTTAAAAATATGTTAATTAACTAAAATTTTACAAATTAATGGATTAAATGAAGGAGCTATTCTTCATTGGCAGCCAGCAAGTGGTGGAGTGCTCTGGATGTGTATTGAAGTGATTGACTGCACAGTGAAAGTGCCGCCACATTGCTTTAGACTGAAGCCTGATTATACATGTGGTTCTAATTGAACCGGTTATTTAGGAGAAGTTGAGGACTGAATACTTGTGTCTGTGTTTCAGGCAGCCTCTCCGTCTGTCTGTCTGTGTGTGCATATAATAAATCCCACACATTTTTCAGAGATGAGATGTGTTTTTTATGACTGGTCAGAAGGCGGTGTCACGTAGTGAAAGTTGCATGGCAGCAGAGAAGGAGAGTCAGAGGGATTTAGGCATTTGACCACCTGAGAGAAAAAAGCTGTTTTCCTCCATTGTTGTCGTTTGGAAGAATCGCATACGTGGTGACAGCAGCCCCAACTTTATTCTTTGAAATGAACCAGCTTTTCTCCCTCTGATTGAAAGGTTGATTGTTTTCGCTCAATCCAATGGTTCATTATCATGTTTGTGCGTTTCGGGCCAGTTTTTTGGGCAAGTGTGTATGTGAGGTGGCCTGGAGGCAGAGCGGCACAGAGATGTTTCTCCGGCTCCACGGAGCACTGGCCCATTAACAGCTGATGGATGTGGGAAGGAGTGACCCAACAGCTTAGAGCGAAAGAGGCTGTTTCCTACGGGCAACGTAGGTGGGGGGGAGGGTGAGCGAGGGACGGGAGAAAAGATAGAACATATGATTGAGAGGCTCGGGGCTCATATAGGCGTGGACTTGCTTAGAGACGAGGAAGCATGAGATCAGCCTCTGTGGGCCGGGGCTGCAGAAGCTATCCAGTCTGATTTCACAGACAGAAAGACAGTCACACACAGGATCATCAAGTCAGCGGCGCGGCCGGGTCCAGAGCACGCCGAGATGGTCGGGCAGGAAGCGGAATTGAAAGGACAACAACGAGCGGAGCGGCGTTGGGCGTAATGCGAGGGTGCCTGTTGTGTTTGAGCAGAGCATCTTCACCAAAAAAAAAAAAAAGCTCCCATAGGTCGCCTTGTCCCCCGCTAATTCCGCATTGCCTCTGACAGCTGTATTTGTGTTATGGATTTTCCTTCACTCTGTCCTGTCTCCCGCTCCTTTTCCCCTGCCTCCCT